CCCCCCGCCCCCCTGTCACTGGCCTGCGGCCTGGTACAGCTTGTTCAGGAGGTCGTGGCGCCCACAGCTCCTGTACAGCCGCTCGGCGTCCTCCTGGGCAGAGAGCTGGGCGTCACTCAGCTGCGGCTCCACGGGCACACCCACAGCGCCACTCCCCACCGTGGCAGGTGGCAGACGGGCAATGCAGGGTACACGTGTGAGCCACGCACAGTGGAGACGCCCGCATGATGCTCTTGCCCCTGCAGCAGGGGAGGCCTGAGCAGTGCAGGGGCGGGGCTGTCTCCCTGGAAGTCCCCCACCCCTCCCTCAGGGCAGGTGTGTGTGTGGTCAGCCTGCCCCCCACCCACGTGCAGCCATGAATCTGGAGATGCCACCGGCCTCCAGGAGCTTCAGCTTTGAGGCCTGGTGGGTGGTAAGACTCTCAGGGGATCAAGGTGCCTCCTCTTTGGCTCAAGCTGCTCAGGGGGGCTCTGCGGATCACCAAGTGGCCTGGTAGCAAACAGGGCACCGCCCCTCTGAGGGCTGAGGAGGGCCTGAGACCCAGAGGCCAGCCTCCCCTCTGAGGGGCCTGGTGGGCAGGTTCTTTCTTACCCCCAGGGGACGGTGTCTGTCTGTCCATCTGTCCGGGACTCACCAACATGCCCAGCTGGATGGCCAGAACAGCCACCCTGGCCTCCACCTCCGGCTCCTGCTCAGCCTCGCGCAGCGCACGGGCCCCGCGGGCGTGGCCCATGTTCCCCAGGCACACCTTGGCGACGTCCAGCCGCCGCGTCTTCACACACATGCGTGCCATGTTCTCCCAGACTGCCTCGCTGAGGGCAGAAGGGGGTGCCGTCAATCCCAGCCCAAGCCTCACCCCTGCCCCATCTGCTCGGCCGCCACGGAGGTGGGGCTGCCAGGGTGCCCGTGGGCTCGGCCGTGCTGCAGGGCCGGGGCCGGGACCGGGATACAGCCCACGAGGACGCCTATCTTCTGTGGCCAAACTCCCGGTCTCTCCCCCTGCGGGTGTGCACAGCCAGGTCCACCCCTGGCAGCAGGGACCTGCATGGGGAAGGGGGAGGCGGCCCACACCACCTCCTATCAGACAGCCTGGGGAGGGTGTGGGCCAGCAGGCGCAGGGCACCCTGCTCAGTGTGCTGCAGTGCCCTTTCCAAGCTCCCCAGTGTGCGCCCCCACTCTGCTCCTGCTCCGCTTCCAGTCGATGGCCAGTTCTTGAGGAGGTGCTGGGCACAGGCACTTTGGCCTCCCTATCGGAGCCTGACCCTCCTCGGACAGCCCCGGTGCATCTGCCCCTGTTGCTGCCTGGCCGTGTCCTCAGACCTGGACCCTGGGCTCAAGGACCTGGCTACCAGAACCAGCAAGGAGCACAATAATTAGGGTGCTCGATTCCCGCAGTCGTCCATGGTTCGAGTCCCAGGCCTAGCAGCTTGGAACTCATGCTGGCCACGTGTGCGTGTGTGCCCCAAACCCGGAGAACGGAGAAGGGGTGTGGTGTGGTCATCCCCTGGGGGTGATTTCTTGCTTCTGTGTCTCTGGCGACCCGCCTTTCCTGACAGGTCCCCCCCATTCCTGCATGGACACAAAGACTCTGCAGGAAGTCCGAGCCCCGCGTCCCCTCGGCCCGGCAGGCAGGGCCTGGATGCTTCTGAAAGGCAGCGCCAGGTGGACGCGGGGCCTTTCGCAGACTCCATTCCACATGACCACACTTCTCAGAGATGTTCGAGTCTCCTCTCCGCCATGTCCTCTGGGTGCCTCCCCTGCCCGGGGTGGCCCTCTTCCCTCCATCACAGCTCGAGAGCGAATGGTCCGCTCAGTGTCCAGTCAGATGGAACCGGACAAAGGACACACAGGCTGGCTCTTCCCCCTACAGGGCAGCCGCCGCTGGGGGCGGAGAAAAGCCCC